ACCTCGGCAACTGCCTCATTGTTGCAGACCTCATTAGACGCGGTAATATGAGCATTTATTTGAGCTACTCCAGCCAGCCTCATAGTCAGAGTTGTACTAGTAAAATATTTAAATGCCAAGTCAAGCCCATCACGATCGAAACTTGGTAATACAGAATCTATCGGATCTTTCACGGCAGTCCACATAAAATCTAAACAACAAAAAAACATCATGTACGTAGATGTCCATATAGAAATAAAAAATCAATTTATATATTCGCAAATGCAAAAATCAGGAGACGCAGCCATGTTAAAAAATTAACAATATAGTGTACGTGTATGTTTTTTTAATTTCAGAAACATACCTGCCATGGTCCTAACAGCTGGAGTACGCAATTCCTTGTCCTCTAAACGACACATATACTTCATAACACGACTGCGGAATGGTATAAATAGTTGAATGACACTGGCATAGTTCAACCAAAGTTTCAGATTACAAATAACCGCAACCATAGAATGCGCAAGGCTAACAGGCAGTGTGCTTTCCATGTCGAAACAAGCGGATACCAAATTAAAGCCTCCTTGATGGCAAAATATAGATACCGCGCGGATCAGAGGTGCCGGTACTTCGGGGTCATGCGGCTCGCAATAACCACCTTCGTCCTATTAATTTATAAAATAATCAATATTATTAATCGATCTAGAATGCAGATAAGTAATAATTTGTACAAAAGTTTTACCTTGACGGGAGCTAAAGGGTTAATTACACCGCCGTGTTTCATTGCGATATAGAGAGGGAAGTTGAGTAAAAAAATTTTCGAAAGAAGATGAAACAATCTTTCCTTTTCGTACTGAGACCACGATCCTTGTTTCGTCTGAATTTCCACTTGCGCGTGTTCCGCATTGTCGTTAGATTTTCGCTTATTATTTTTCTCTTCCTCATCCTTTCCATCCTTAGGTGTCTCTTTAGCGACATCTCCTTGCTGTTCATTTTGCTGTATAACTTGTAACTGTTGTAACGTACAGAGTACGACACTTTGAGTTAGCCTTATAAATCGATCAAAATTTTTAATTTCACGATAACAGCACATACATTGTCTAGAAAAGAAGAAACAATCGTAAAAATGATATTGCTTGATCAATATTTACATTAACAATACATATAAAAATAATTATAAAAGTTAACCCTTTCGCTATGAGGTGTTAATAAACATTCATTACAAATATCGACTGTAAAGACATGATTTTAATTACAAGTTGTTGAGACAATTTTCTACAGGTTCTTAGCCGATTTATAATATTTTTTATTAATAAAGGTGATACAACTGTTACATATTAACAATTTAATTTCTCAGTAAGAAAAAATATAAAATCTAAGAATATATATATGCAAGAATTTTACAACACAATAATAACTTCTTTTAATGCTTTTAATTTGTAGAGTTATGACACACCTTTACATCTAGACTAATTTTTTAATTGATATCTTCATTACTTTGTTTACACCTCTTGACTGCTTCTTTTGTTCTTTAATTATGATCTATAAATATCTTATGTATAAATATATCTATAAATTATTCTTTCTGTCTTTCCAATAAATTGATATGTTAGTCTTAGCATCAAGAAAAGATTAACAAACATAAAAAGGTATTAAAATTAATTAGATTGTTCAATGTACCTCTGCACCCACTGGTTTACATAATGCAACGTCGTGTCCACATCTGTTACATACAATGTTGCCAATGCATCTTGCTCCTTCGACGAACGTTCGTCATCTAAAAAAATAATTTATCAGACCCCACAAAGAAAATCGGTACAAACTTAAAATACTGGTTGCAAAAACGTTTTTTTTTTTAATAATCTTTCATCTTGCGCGACATAAATAAAGAAACGTTAACCAATGTTATCTAACAAACTTACAGAATCTTAAAAATAATAAATATAAAATTTAAATTTTACAAATAAATGAATTAAAAAATTCAGTCTATAAGTTTATATGAATTTAAAAAAATCACAAATGCCAATATCGCTTAGAGTATTAAAAGATTAATCGTAAAATTTCCAGTGGAGAATTTTCGACAATCATGATTGAATGAACGTTTTCGAATCTACTAGATCTTTCGACGAGCTTCGTTGGAAATCGTTCTACAATCCATGCATCTAATATGCCTATATTTCTACGAATGTAGCATAACTTTAACTTGTTTAATACTTTTTCATCCTTTTTTTAATTCTCGAAGCTAGAAGAACATAAAAAATGTTAAATCGAGATTAAAGTCAATCTACATCGGTAGAAATAGACGTAAGAAAACGTGCCGCTTTTGTTCGAAAACTCCACCGTAATTCAAAAAGCGCCATAACGTTCGGTTGAAAATTATATAACGAAATATTATATTTATTCGTTTAGGAGAATAACGCGGATGTGGAAACGCGCTGGAAGAACGAAGTGAGTCTCGACGTTTTCGGCCTCGATCTTCGAACGAAATAGAACTCTCATCGACGGTTAAGGTTATAAAGACGCTACTCCGTTCGGTCGTGTTTCACGCGGACGAGACGTCCCGAGAGCAAAGAAGCGAGGACACGTCGCGGCGGCATGTCGCCATTCCACCAGATCGACTTCCTCGGAGGTGAAATCCGTCGGCGAGATCTCGGGTCGCGAACGCAAATCCGCTTGGATAGGTTAAGAATCGGCGGGGGGAGCCAACGCTACTGTGGGTGCAATATTATCCACTTACAGGAGAGCAGAAGATCGTGAAAATCGACGCACACATCGCACATGGTGCCTAGATTATTTTAGCCTAGCGAGAGGCCCTCGGTCACGTCAAGTTCATCACTCGAGCTCACCGACGCACGTTGCCGACAACGATAAATATTATTAAACATCCCCCGTGTGCGCTCACGACTGTCCCCTGACGGTCACCATATTGCTTTTTGTGTGCGTACACTCGCCGCTCACTTCAAGCGAGGCGCGTCGTCGTCGCTTCGCCCTCGCGGCGGAGTCGCCTTCGTCACTCTTGAAAAGGTTACGGATTCGACGACGACACGTGTCACACGTTGCCGTCCGTTGCGCGGCCCGCGATTTCGAATCCGCGATCGTCTGTAAACGCGTGCACGCTCGACGCCGTTCGGGGCTAATTAAATTTTATCGGTTCGCTCGCGACCGTCATTGTGACAGAAGACAGCTGATCGCCACCATGTTGAATCCGCGGTGCGCGTCGTGATTTAAAAATCCATTTGCACTTTCCCGGAAGCGGCCGCGCGCGCGATCTGTTACGTGCGCGATGCAACGTAAACGTGTGTAAAGAGAACGGAGAAGAGAGAATGAACTCAAAAACTAAAATCGACCTAAACCTAAAACGGGGCTATTACCTTCTTCTTCTCCTCACTCTTTGTGTGTATTGTTTGAGAATTGGAAATATTTTCGTCGCGCTCTGTTTGCACGCGAAAAACTGTGAAATTGGACGTTATACACAAAAAATATATATTTCTTTATTTTATGATAAAAGAATTTTTTATATCATTTTTGGCACTTATTTTAATCGTTTCTATGGTTCACACGTATGAGAAAATTAAATAATGTTTCTAAAGCGTATTTATACTAATAACAAATTTGTATTATATATTGCACAAAAAACAATTAACAAGTAAATAAAGTATGTTTCTTTAGCTAGTTTTTATTTTTCTGTGTATATAATTTTGTAAAAAAAGAAAAGCCTCGTGATTTATTATGCACTTTTGCAACAATGTAAAGTATGTAAACTTCTGATACGATTGAGGGGGGGAGGGGGGGGGAGAGAGAGAGGAGGGGAGGGAAAAGAGAGAGAGAGAGAGAGAGAGAGAGCAGTCAAGAAATGATATTCTAAAAAGAAACTTCATGTTCATATAAGTGTGTCGCACTTGACAGATGTACGACAGCTGATTCCTTCGCATCTCTTTGAACTGTATTCTCTAATCAACATTCAGTGGCGAGTTATCAGGGACGTATGAATTGCAAGCGCCCTTTATAGACGGTTTCCTAAATGCGTTCCGCAATACAACAATTATGGAATATTGAACTTTATGCAAATTCTCCACCGTACAGACAACTTTGAACAAACTCCGATTCGCACCGTTCAATTTGTCCAGTCATACCTGATATTTTATTTAGGTGGATATATTGTTATTTTATATTGTATATTATATATATAATATATTCGAACAAAAAGAAATGATCAACAAATAATTATAAACAGTTAAGAATATATTAATAAAGCAATTATGCCGGCTGAATTAATTATCTGGTTAAGCGAATTAATATATAATTTTGAAATCATATGGAGTGTGCGTGTGTGTGTGTGTGTGTGTGTGTGTGAGAGCGCGCGCGCTATCGAAGTCTGTCCTTTTTTTTTATATTGTAAAGGTAATTGTTATAATTTATAATTTTAATGTTTATAATTTCAAAACGTGTTTCGTAATTTTAGTATGAACTTTTGTAGAGAGTCAAAAAATAAAATCGAAAAGATATTGAAACAAATAGTCAAATTTAATAATATTTAATAACTGTATAATAAGGTAAATTTCTCGTATGTGTTTACCGCTGGTTCTTGGCATTTAAAATTTATCCAAAAATTTTATATAGCTCAAATGTGCTTAAAACAACAATTTACTTTATTTATAAAAATAAATAAATATAAGTGAAATAGATATTTTTTATTGCTCTTTCTTCTTTAATTGCAGTTTGATCAAAGGAATGTGGAGTACTGTAAAATGTGTAGAGCAATATACTATAATAAAATAAACACTTTTCAACAATTTAAGAAGGCACAGTGTAACACAGTGAATCATTATATATACTTGTTGTTTGTCAATGTTAAACAAAGGATGAAATGATCACTGTATGTGTCACATACTTGTAATATTGTGTTACTTGTAAATATTAAATAATAAAAAAAAATAGACGAGGGGGAGAAGAAAATACGAGGGTCCAACGAACAGTGTATACAGCATTGATGGAGGCATCGTTCGGAGCGCGCTGGCGTTCGACGGAGTCTGCAATAAACAAACTCCAAGTGATCTCCAGGTAAAAAAGCGAATACGTTCGACACTCTCTCTCGCTGTAACTACGATTGCGAGGAGTCGCGCTGTCAATCGTCGAGCGGTATCAAAAAGCGAACGAGAATCGTGCGAACGTCGTGGGAGCAGCCATCGAAGCATCGCCGCGGAGATGGGCAGCACGGACAAGGCTGTGATCACGGGGTTCATATGCAGGCTCTGCAGTAAGATGAACCGCTTCGTGATCCACATCTACGGGGAAGAGGGCGAAAGAATGAAACTCGCCGAGAAGATAAACACCTATCTGCCGATCACGGTAATTTCTACGTGCCTCCCTGTAACACATACGATTTTTCAGGACCGCGTTAAGCATTTCGCCCGGTGCGGAACTTGATCGATCTCCACGTCCTCTCGCACTTTACACAGATCTTTATTTGGAGGCAATGCAAGTATCTACAAAAAGAAAAAAAGATCTCATACAAGTCTATACTATGTAGGTACCCTTTTTTTTTTTTAAAGCTTATACCACTTTACCTCCTGATGTATTTTACAAATGTAGGGCATTGTTAGATTTTGTAAGAATTGTCAATATACTTTTTCTATCACCGACTACTGTATCATTTTATATAATTTGCTGTTTAAGGAAACATTATGATAAAACAGTTTTGTATACATTTGTACAGGTAAACATGAACGACCCACTACCAAAGACTGCATGTTTACACTGCATCGAACGATTAGAGGCGCATCACGAATTAATGGAACAAATCATGTTCACCAGGCGGAGATTAAACACCGACAATAAGGCGACCACAGTAGCATCCTCTTCTGCGACAACCGTAGACACAGCTCCAACATCTAGCCCACCTCCTTGTTGACATGTGCAATGGAACATAGTATATCCTTTCGCTCAAAGCACCATTCGCCAAGCTCGGATGATTCCCATATAATTTTTCATTTCATTTGAACTGTTTATAATAAGTGAAACGTGTAAAAAAAAGGACAGAGAGTGGAGTAAAATGTAACGTTACATTTTCCTACGTAAACACGATACTTTCATATTACATGTTTTATATTACTCGTTTCGAACAAGTATTTATTAATGGATATAAGTATTAAAGAAAATTGTTCATTGCCAATGTCCACTACTGTTTTTTGAGGGAACAAACTATTTCAAATATATGGAAAATAATTCAAATGAAGCAAAAGAAATAATATAACATTACACGAAAAATTACATTTTTTAATGTAACATATATATATATAAAGTATATATATATATATAAGCAGTGTTAATTTTCAATTTGAACAAATTATATGAGGATACATTTTTTCTTGCTGGTCTATGGTTAATAATGAGCAAACTATTTGGAAGAAAGTAATACTTTAAATGTTCTGGGCAAGCGCAATAATATTAAGATAATCGAAAAAAAATGCATATATGTGTTCAGACGCAGATACACATATGCAAATATATTCACATTATAGGGATGTATAAGATATCTAGCTGTATCCAAAGTATCTACTGGTATCATTTTAATATTCAAGAGTTTTGTACAATAGATAGTATCTTCAATAAGTCTCTCTTACATAAAAAAAATAATCAAAACATTAATTATTTGTTTTAAATTTTAGTTATTAAAAATATATTCAACTTTAAAAATAAGAATATTTACATACACTCCGAATCTTCAAAGAAGCTACAAAGTAATAATACAAAGCATGAATTTTGATTAAAGGATTTGGATTTGAATTATGTAAAAAATACATAATAAATGATCTTTATTGTGTAAAAATTCATTGAGAGAAAAATGATGAATGTGCAATTTAAAATAAATCAAATTTTGATTATGTTAGCATGATAAATGGTAAATAAATGTCCCTATATAGAATATAGGAGATATTAAATTTGATCAAATATGTTTGCCAAATTTAAATTTTATATTTGTTATTTTCGAGATATTGTATATTTGTTAATATAGTGGCTGTTTTTTTATTTATAATCTTGCTTTGCTACTGTGGATACGCGATACCCAGTACATCTCTTACAATTAGTCACTACAAACACACGTACACATACATAAAGACACACACACACACACACACACACACATATATATTATTTTATGAATCTTACAATAATTTTTCTTTAAAAATGTTTTATAAGATTCTTTAATTATATCTTTAATGAGATACTGCTGCATCTTTAACGTATCAATTCTACTGATGTACAAAGATATATATTATACTCTTGAAAAACAATCTTTATGCGATACCATATTGTATAATGTAGAAATTTCTTAGCTATAAAATTTAGGGCATGTAAAATTAAGATACGGAAACTTATACTTATATTGCATATAAAGAAATAAGTCATACATATTTTAGTCATTGATTTTCACAATAAAAAAATTTTCTGTTATTCATTACGTTGATACACAGAACAAGTGATAAAAGAGATATTGTATATTATGTATTATGTTTGTCACTAATGGTGCATTATATTAATTGCGTATATAATCGAAAACGATGTCTTATTAATCTAATACAAATAAGTGCAAAGTACAATAACATATTTGTATAATTATATGTATTAACATGTAATTTTGCGTAAGTTTTACACAGATTTTAATCTGTTTATCTTTGTTTGCAAGCTACAATGTAATAAATAATATGTATAACAGATTTTAAATATAATTTGTCAAGTTATTTCTATCTTTATTTTATCTTTTGGTACGTTTTGATATATCTAGGATTTATGTAAATAGAAGAGGATTTATATAAAGAGAGGATGTTTTTTTTTGTTAAGATAAGATTTATTTCTTATTCACTGACAGTTAAATGTTATGAGAAACAATGATACTTTACTGTTTGGCGATGCAAATTCGTCTTGTGCTTATCATTATGTACTATTTCACATGTATGATTTACAGAGAGAATAATTGTTTTCAAAAGACAAGAGAGAGAGAAAAAGAAAAAAAGGATGCATTTGTTACACTTTTTTTTAGTGTTTATCGTAATATATTATACTGTTGATGTGTAATGTTTGAAATCGCAATACTGCTTCATTGCTTTAAATGATAATTTAGATTGTCAAATCATACCAATTTATTAAGATTCGATAAAATATTCTATTATAAACTAAAACTATCCAATTAATAATGTACGTAATAGGCGGACCTATTAATTATTTCATATTACGTCGATATACCCCATTTTTTAATCATCGATTTATAATTTAGATTACAAATTAATCTTTAATCTAGAATTTACCATAAAAAAATTATACAACACAACCGAATAATTACATTATAAATAATATTTAAATTTAATATTTTTTAATAAAAAAAATACATTTTAATTTTTTTATTGTTCAAAAGTCTCAATTGTAACTATTTATATATATATTTTAATATTAAGAGAAATTTTAATTAATAATATTTAAGTGTATGAAATATCATATATGTGGCATTTAAATGTAATTCTCATAGCAAACATTGCACAATTATACTGCATGTATATAACATAAATTATGGAGAACAAGATTTATATATGTGTTAAAAATGCATCCTCTAGTCTTCTCAAGATAAATATATGCTATTTCGCGACACTTCTGAAATGATTATACAAAACGCGTGATCATGTCAGACTGTGCGATAAACTATTAAGTTTGACTTATTTTCATACACACGTAATATAAAACTATATACAATACATAAAGAAGAAAATCTAATGTTCTGCATTTTTCACACTTAAACGTAATTGCGTTCTCACACCATAAAGTTCAAATCGATCTCTTTTTATAAAAAATATATATTTATATATAGCTAAGAATGAAATTTTATAGATATACACATACACGCGTACATACATACAATGTATGTAAGTATTAAGAGAGTACATTTATAAAATTTTGTTATTCTTTCGACCTAACTTTATAGCATTTTACAAATTTATCTTCATCATTTGATTCATATTTTTGCGATGAGTTCTTATAATTAATTTCCACTCTTTTTGTATTTATCTAATTTCTTCATACTTGAAGTGCTCTTCGACATGTGTTGAAATACAAGTATAAATGCATCTCTGACGAGTTTCCAATACGTGACGTACGATTCTATTGAGTATATAATAACTATTCAATGATAATTGACAAAGCACAACATCAGCTAAATATAATATGAAAATCAGTAATCTAATAGTAGATAAAGTATCATTGAGCTGCGTTCACGATCGCTGCACAATCATAAAAAGCAAGAGAAAAAAGAAAATGTCTCAATCCTGATATCTTTTAGCAGGAATCATATATATTCATTTACGTATGTCGATATGTCGAAACTGTGGTTTACTTAGAGTTATGAATGCTTCGAAGCGGTCGATTGATCAATTAGAGCAAAGAAATCTACGCTTCAAAGCGTTTGTAACACCAATTGCATCGCGACCAATATCGATCAAACAAATCATACATTCTTAAATATTTATGATAAGACTCAATAAGTATTCAACTACTAATATAATGAAATAAGGGCAATGAGCTAATTTTCATTAAAATCTTTTAAATCAATCTAATATATCATACATTCTTGTTTTTCTTTTTTAAATAAGATATCGTTTTTACAAAGTTATATACATAAATTTAAACAGACGTGGTACTCATTTCTTTTTTGTCTACTAATTTGCAGTCTACAAATTATTTTTATTTCATATGTGCATATTAACATACAAATACTTCCTCGCCAACATTTAATCGTACAAACGTATGTATTTGTGTTCGTACTCACAATACAATATTTAATAGAAATTTTGCTAGATTTTAGTATTTACATCTTTATTACTATAATATCGAAGACGCAACGTTTGTGACTAATTAATATAAATCCTTCTTATATATCTTTTAGTTTTTCCTCAACATTTTGTGAAAACAGCTCAACTGTAACCGATGTAAACATACGCGAGAAACGGAAGTGACAGTCAGCTTATATAATTACTTGTTCCCCTAAGATGTCTTTACAGTAACGCATCGATAACGCTCTCTCAGCCTTTTTTTTACAAGAAAAAAAGGGAGGAAGAGAAGTAACAAAATAAAGAGCATCAGTTTTTCGTAATTTGTACTTTGCATTTAAACGTGTGAAGTGACAAAATGAGAATAAAGATGATTTTTAGCATTTAAGGCGTTTCCCAACAAGAGATTGATAAACAACAGGGTGATTCACTGTGTTATACATAATGTACACTGTTAGTTACATCGTGCTATTTCGTCCCTTGCTGGAAAACGCTCTTAAAATAGAGATAGTGAACACCTTTAAAGAGTGATTAATGAAATATATAATGTACAATAACACAACTATATTATATATAAATGAATTTGTTGTTCTATGAACCAAACACATCCTTGCATTACATCTATATCTACAGTTTATTTAAATAAAGAAAGATTATATGGACAAATGTTAATGTAACTAAGCAATATTACACAGATAAAAACTGTCATGAATTGTCTGGCGTGATTGCATGATGCCCGTGCCAATTGAGTAATGCTTACAATAGTCCCATTTAGTACTCGAAAGAATAATAATCTTTCAGCATTGTCTATCACGAACAAGCCTGCTGCATTTCTGCTTTAGCTGCTTTCATTGCTGTTATAAAAAATTTTTACATATTAGTTTTATGTCAACGACATAGATATAAATAAAATTGAATTTTTTTTTTATTATGTGCGATTTACATTTGTTGGCAAATAATATTGAGTGATACATGATATATTGTTATAGAAATAAAATCATAATCATGTGGAGTTAATTAATAAATTGCTTGGAGGGAAGATATGAAAGGATATCATTAGATTTTTACCTTCTCGTTCTCGCCTTCTTAATTTCTTCCGACGTCTTTCTATAGTAGCGAGTTCAACCTTCACAGCATTATATGTCTTACGTAAATCAGATAATTTCTGCTGTAGTACAGCTATCCTTTGACTACCGTCCAATTCAGGATCTGT